GGCACTCTAGCCCAGGCAACAGAGCGAGACTGTGTCTCAAAAAAAAAAATGTCAGAGCTTCTACAAAACTCTTAAAACAAGAATGAGAGCTTGAATCATACATAAAGCATATTTTAACTGAGGTATATATAGATAGCGGAATGCATGTGTCTCATTCAAAAAGTGTTTACCAAACAAAACTATATGTAAAAGCACTTTGTAAACCACAAAATTTTACACACACGTGAGCTATCACTGTGAAAGAGAAGCCTCCAAATTAAAACCATTAAGCAATCTTTAAAATAACAGTTTCCATCTACTCACTATTTTACTTAAAGTTATTTGCGAAGGAGCTGGCATCCTAGTGTAAATGGGAACTCAGGATCGGTTGCCATAAATAGAGGGCAACCATAACAATAAATCCAATGAAAACAAAACAGGGGGATTAAATTCTAGAGAGACTCTGCAGCCTGCTGACAGCCTGTTCTCTCTTATGGGAGATTAGCAAGTGTTAGAAACATATTAGCACCAAACCAAGACTTCCCTTTGATGTTAGTAGGAGGCTTTACAAAGAGACTCCTAAGAGGCATGCTTTTCTCCCTGAGCAATTCAGGCTTGTGGGTGCTGTGTTCTCCGTTCACCTAAGATCACTGGTAGGGATTGGCCATGGGGCCTGGAAGGAAGGTCCTGGTGGGGTTTGTCCCCCGCCTTGGTGAGGAGTGAACACTCTGCTCTTCCTCGGTCCTCCGGAGCAGAAGAGCAGAGCGGATGGTGTTGGGAAGCAGACACTGTCTGGGGAGTCAAGACCTAATTTGAGTCAAGTCCCAGTTTGACCCTGATTGACGAGGTGACTTGGGCAAGTCCCTCTCTGTTTCTGAGCCTCAGCTGTAAAACGCTAGGGTGCATGGGAGGTTCTCAGTCTTTCCTGGTGCCCCAGGGGTTTCCCAGAGGTGCCTGGATAGCTAGGGTAGGGGTGAGGGGGTTGTTTAGGGGGCCAGGCTCAGCCTTCCAGGCTCCTGCGCAGCTGCACAGGGCGGTGTTGCTCTGGTCTGCTTTCGTGCCTTGTGTTTCCTCCTGAAATTTCATTCCCCCAAGGGCTCTCTTGCATAAAGGAAATTTTAGCCTTCCAACTCTGTCTTCATGCAATGCCACGACCTACCTCTGGCAAAGTAGATTGCTCTGGTTTCTACTTAGGATTCTCTTCTAGTGGCCCAAGCTTGCCCTCTCCTGCTAGAGCCCGGGTCCTTGCTACCTGTCTAGGGGGAGTCCCGGTGAGACTGTGGTCCTGGGTTGACCCCAGGAGGAAATTAGGCTGCGGGGCTTACAGCGTCCCCCGTGAACCCTGGATTGCCCCCTTTGGTTTCTGATTTTCCCTGCTTTTGAAATGTGAGGAATGATAGCAGTTTGGAGCCATTTCTAAGGAAGAATATGAATAGAAACTATAAATAGAAAAATGGAATACAAATAGAAAAATACAAACAGAGGCGCCCTCTTCTGTGCGCCCAGCTCAGTTCAGACTGCAAAGTGCTTCTCCAGCCGGGGTCTCGTTTGCCTTAATCGTCCTTGTGAGTCAGAAAGGGCAGAGTGTGTTCCTCTTTAATCCCAAGCACAGACTACAACTGAGCCTTCTTTCAGAGACATGAATGTCGCCTCATTAGCTTGTACAATCCTGGCTGTGCAGCGCGATTTGAATAATACCAACAGCAGCCGCTTACTCAGGGCTCGGTGGGTGCCAGGCCCTGCGCTCAGCCCTCTCTGTGCTTTGCTGGTCCTCACGGCAGCCCTGTGAGGTGGGTGTTGTTATGAATCCCATCCTACAGAGGAGGGCGCTGGGCTCGGGAGGCGAAGTAACCTGGCCAAGGCCACGCAGCTGGAGCATGCACGTCCCTTAGGCAGTGCGTGGCCAGGACTTTCAGTTTGCAAAGTACCCTAATAGTAGGCTCTTAGGGGTTTCTTAGCAGCTTTGTGAATCACGCAGTCCTAACCCTGGAGTACAATTGTCCGTTTGTTTCACAAGTGTCAACATCCCTTCATTGACTTGCAAAGTGCTGGGTGTGCCGTGCATGGGAGCATTGCATTGCTGGGCACGCAGTGCATCCCTGGAAAGGTCATGATCCTTTGACCTCAGCCTTGCATTCCGCCAACGAGGAGAAATCCTTCACATTTGACAGTTGAAGACACAGGCTCACCATGGCAGTGACCACAGATGTAGCAATGGCCACCATTTTTCATCACTTACCAAATGTTAGCAGTTTTACATACAGTATCTCACTTAATTCTCCCCAAAGCCCCATGAGGGAGATATTATCATCCTTATTTTATACTTGAGGAAACTGAGGCCTAGAGAAGTTACAAAGCTTTTTTAAGGACCCATAGCAGAGCCAGGCTGGGGTGCAGATCTCCTCTTGCTGGAGGCCCGGTGGAGGAGGCGGCACCGGGCTGGCTTGATGGGGCTGCAACCTGTGCAGTCACACAGCCCTGTGCTCGGAAGGGCCCATGCACGGGCTAATGCTCTGCTACTGCCTTCTTGACATTCTTCATCATTTGTGAATAAGGGTCCCATAGTTTCATTTTTCTCTGGGTCCTGCAAGTTTTGTAGCTGGTCCTGGAGCAGCAGGGAGCTCCTGGCCTCCCTTCACTCCCTCCTTTCTCCTTTGCCTGCCTAGGCCCTGTTTGACACACAGAACGAGCTACGCACACACATCCCGAACTTCACCTTCAACCTGGGCTACTCAGGGAAATTCTTCCACACAGGTAAGTGGGCCTGCCCTTGCCCTCGCTAGCAACGCCCATGGACTCCTCAAAGCACTGTGCCACGAGGATAGCACGTGGGCCTCCTGAGCCAACAGCCCACGAGAGCGCTCACAGCCCCAGGCAGAGGCCATCTGGGGACAGCTGCAGCTGCAGCAGCAGCAACAGGGGTTTCCGCTCATCCCTCCCTGACCTTCCAGGCTGTGCTGCCCTGGATAGGGCACCTGCTCCCTCTTGTCTGTTCCTCACCCCTCACCTTTTGAAATTATATGTATTCCTTCTTCTTATAAAAGAAACTGGCTGAATTTTGAGAACATTACGGAAATACAGAGCATAGAAAGTGAAAATGCCTTGTACTTCTACCCACCCCAGGATGACAAGTGTCCTGAATTTATTTTAGAGCCGTGGGGTTGAGGTCGAGGGCTGTGGGTTGCTTGGTTCACACCTTACTTCCTCTTTCGGGCTCTCAGCTTCCTCACCTGCTGCCTTCAGGGACTGTGCAAGAGGGAACAGCCCCCGAGCTGGTCATCTGCAGTGGCCGTTTCTCCTGCTCAGGCCGCAGTGAGGGCAGCCTTTCTCGAATTCCAGGCAAAACTGTATCAGTCAACAATTCAGAGGAGGGAGATGTGCAGCAGAGCCCGAGAGCCAGATAGGAGTGAGTCTGTGCTGGTCTGTCTGCATTTTATACCCATGACCCTTAGCACGTCAGACAGAGGTGGTTGTGGTAATACAAACGCGGCAGAGGGCTAAGCATCCTGTATGTGTACAGAGAGCTGCCACAAATCAGGTAGAAGACAAACGGCCCGGGTTGGGTCATTGGAATAGGATCAGAGCAGGCATATCAGAGGTGAGAGAAACCCTTGAGATCATCGACTCTGAACCCCAAGGGCCCACAGAGGAGAAGGTCTTGGCCAAGGTCCCTCACTGAGTGAAGGGCATGCTCTAGACCAGAATCTGGGGCTCCGGACTGGGGCTCTGTCTGCTCCTGTGCTGTGGCTCAGAGCTGCCACTCCAGGCAGCTCCGCGGTGGCCGTGGCCATGTGCTCCCCTGCCCGGGCACAGACCCAGGTTGGAGGGCCTCACGGCCAGCGGGCCGGGCTGAGCTGCCTGTGCCGGGCTGCAGGTACTGATGCCGAGGATGCCGGGGACGACCTGCTGCTGTCATACGTGAAGGAGTTCTGGTGGTTCCCCCACATGTGGAGCCACATGCAGCCCCACCTTTTCCACAACCAGTCCGTGCTGGCCGAGCAGATGGCCCTGAACAAGAAGTTCGCTGTCGTGAGTAAGATTCCCTACAGGGCAGAGCCGGGCGGGCTCGGGGCTGGGCTGGGGGGCTGGACTGCCGGCCTCTCACTGCCTTCGCAGCTTGCTCTGACGGATTTTTGCTAACGTCTCTGTGCCGGGGCCCAGGGCGAGCTGCATTTGTAGCCATTATCTCCTCCAAGCCTCCAGAGAATAGCCCCACTTTACAGAGCAGAAACTGAGGCTCAGCGGGGTCACACCAGTCCTGAGAGGTCCAGGCAGGACTTAAACCCAGGCCTGTTTGTTTCCTGAGCCCAAGCTCTTACTAGGGCAGGAGGCTCCGGAAAGCTGGAACAGGTGCTCCATGAGGAGGGAGTGAGCCCCGGGTGCCAGGTAGGCTAGCCGGGGCCCCCAGCCAAGTGGAGGCAAGAAGAGGCAGGAAGAGGCCCCGTCCTTCTCCCTTGCTACAGGGTGCTTGAGTCCTCTGCGCTGGAGGGCACATGCGCTGGACCAAGAGGCAGGAGACCTGGGTTCTAGTCCCAGCTCTGCCGGTCACTCACTCTCAGAATCTGGGCACACCCCCTTCCCTCCCGGGCCTCAGCTTCCTCGTCCATACCGTGAGGGCTTGGACCACTGCCCTGCCCTCCGGCCTCTGATTTCTCTCTCCCATTTCTACAAGGGGGCATAAGGCCCAAGGGGAAGGACCCCCAGGCTCATCCTGCCCTGGTCGTCTTCTCCCCAGGAGCACGGCATTCCCACAGACATGGGCTACGCGGTGGCGCCCCACCACTCGGGCGTGTACCCCGTGCACGTGCAGCTGTACGAGGCCTGGAAGCAGGTGTGGAGCATCCGCGTGACCAGCACGGAGGAGTACCCCCACCTGAAGCCAGCCCGCTACCGCCGCGGCTTCATCCACAATGGCATCATGGTAAGCGGGCCCCCGGCAGCCTGGGAGGTGGGAGGACGGTGGGCACAGCCTGTCCAGTGCACGCGTGTGCGCATGTGTATATGTGTGCGCCCATGCACTGTCCTGGGACGCGCGGCTTAGGGGCTGCAGACCAGTTTCT